TTTTTGGGGGGGGGGGGGGGGGCGGGAAGGGGGCAGAAGAAACAACCGCCTCTCAGGCTAAGGTTGGGCGCTGACCACACACGCACACACACACACACACACACACACACACACACACGCAAAGAGCTAGTCCATGAAGGAAGACATTAGCATGCTACTCATGGTCTCCATAGAACACACAAGGTCACTGAAGGATGGGAGACAGCAGACAAGCTACTCATCCAAACCGAAAGTCACAACAAACAACACCTACAAAAAGGACGCAAGCGAGATCATCGAGAAGTGCTTAGAAAATGCTGCGCTCGATAAAAGCGAAAACGCCACCAGAGGAGTACAGGGTCGACCCCGTGCTTGATTCTACGGCAAAACACCACGCGTGAGCTGAATGTTTGGGTGGCACGGATCAACATGAGCGGCAACTTTTGGGAACTGTCACGTACTCTCGTCATATTGGTAGGCGCCGACCGCCAAAAAGCCGTCCGCACTCGCCAGTCCGCTGCCAAAGTAGTCGTAGGAGATGCCCTCGTCATGTTGGAAGCTCTTCGTGTAAGACCACGAGTCATCGGCGAGACGATTATACTTGTATACAACGCCGACGTAGGGCGCACTGTTCCCAGAAGAGTCGGTGCGATGGCGCTCCGAGGCGAGATACAAGATGTTGCCATCCGCGCTCAGGTCCATGGACATGCCCAGATAATCATAGGACACATTGCGCGTGAGGGTGTCAACCAGGCGCCAAGCCGAACCGTTGTAGCGGAACACGTCCACGTTGCCGTGATAGGTGCCTGTAGCGCTCGAGTCTGAGTAGGGCGCGCTCACAAAGATTGTGTCGCTGTAATATAGGACGGCCCAACCAAAATAGTCGGAAGACGCCTGTACCTCCCGCGTCAGCATGGCCTGAACAGCATAGCTTTGGTTGTTGGTGCGGGTAAATGTTACCGCGGCACCAGTGTAAGTTGCTGAACCGGTGTGATATTGAACGCCAGCCACAAAGTTGTTTTTGTTTGTTCGATCAAAGGCCAGTGAGCCATGCTGATAGCCAATGCGCTCGTTGGTCTTGGCGCCGGCCAAGTAGATGGGAGCTTGGTTCAGCACCCACTCTCCGGAGCTCGCATTCTTAGCGTATACAATCAGCGATCCCGTGTTGATGGCAGTCGAGTTCTCATCGTTGGGGCAGCTAAAAACAAATACGTCATCCTTGATCGCAACGGCACGTCCGCAGTCGTCCAGGTAATTGGGTGATGGGTGCGTTACCCGTTGCTTTTGGACAAATTGACCAGTCGCGTTGCGTTCAAACACCCAAACAGCACCAGTGCGAGTTGCAGAACTAGTACTCGCGCCAAAGTAATAGCCGCCAACGATAAGAACATCACCGTCAATGGCCACAGAACCACCTATTACGGCGAGACAACGTGAATGTGGGAAAATGGGTGGGTAAAAGAAGTGACAAAACCGGGCAGGCAATAGAATAATGTCGACAAACAGGTCATGGGCAGGGCGGCAGGCGGGGGCGCAAACAAACCAAAGGAGGTCCCAGCATAGATGTTGCTAGCCGCAGGCATCAATTTTTGAAGGAGCACATAGGTCTCTGCTTCGGGATTCACCTCCCATACGTAGACAGCCCCCACTTGGTGACCATAGGCGCCGCACACCACCGTTGTGCCATCAGCGTCACACGCACTGTACATGGCAAAAACCAGAATCAGAGCCATGGAGGCAACGTGAGCACAGGAGCTTGGAGAAACCGGCGATGCGCAGACAGAAATAATATAGAACTTGGGAGAGCAACATAGCGTGCCACCCGTTTTGCAAACAAAGTTTGAGATACGTACGAGCCAAGGTAGTCGTAGGAGGCAGCATCTGGTACCAGAAGCTTGAAGCTAAGATCCGCTCCTAGGTCTGCCTCCAACAGGCTCTTGGCGATACCCATGCGCGTCGGTGCTTGTTGGAGGGTCTGATTCACAGCGGCACTCAAAGATTGAGCGTCGGCAAGCACGCCATACGAACTATCCACGGCTGTCTGAAGCTCGTCGACAATGCCACTGGTAGCGGTACCAAGGGCCAACTCAGCTGCCACGATTGTGTCGTTGGCTTGCTGCGCAAAGGTGCTGGAAACGTTGGCCATGGCATCCAAGGTGGCGTTGGCTGCAGATTGAAACGCATTGTTGGCCTGCACTTCGGCCGTGACCTGCGCCGTCAAGTTAGCGATAAAGGTGGTGGTAGCGTTATCCATGCGGGCGGCATGGGATGCAGCGTTGGCAATGGCATCGGCCAGCATGGTTTTAAGGGTCTGTACGTCAGCATCAATGCCATCGGGAAGCTGTTTTATTAATTTTTTGAGAAAAACAAAAACAAAAACCAAGCGCAGAATAGAGTGGGTGAGTGTGTGTACTGGGGTATCAAGGGCGGGGCCGAGCAGCACGGAGCGCAGCAGGGTCTGGCACGTACTGCAGAGACGGCGGTGCGGAGTGCATCAATGTCGTTGTTGATGATGGCGTCAAAAAGGGACATGTCAGCAAGGAGCTGCTGAGCATCATCTGCAATCTGTTGGAGAATGCACGTGTCATGAGCGCCCAGACTTTCAATGCCTTGGGCAGGCGGATTCGCTTGTGGTGGGAGGGTCTTTGAAGACGACTGTTGTGCGCCAAGGGTTCGAACCTGGGCAAAGCGGGCGGTCACGGCTTCGGCATTGGAATGATACAGCGTGCGCTGGGCAATGAAGGTGTCGAAGATCTATCAAAGGCACAGGGATTACGACAGGGTTCGCGGGGTGTACCAACGTGAGTGAGCGAGTGAGCGGTGGTATCAGCCATCGGAGGGCTGGAGCGGGGCCGCGTGCCTACATTGTCAAGGTTGGCCTTGGCATCGTTGGCCTCGGTTGTGGCGGTGGCAATGTCGGCCATGAGCTGCTCTTGAATGGCCATTTCGTTGGCAATGGCCTATCAAGTGGACGCAGGTCGGAAGTGAAGCGAGGCCTGGGGCTTGTGTGACAGGGGTGGGAAAGGCGACCGATACGGGTATGGGTGGCTAGCCATGTCCATGCAAACCAACCGTCAGCAGTTCTTGAGGGGAGATGGTATCATCGCCGATCGCAAAGGTAACACCATTGCTATCAGCAGTGATGGAAGCGTCGCTTCCCTTGATCTATTTTACGCACCACCCAGGACCTTGAGGAAGAGGCTGGTTTCAAAGCGAGACTCGTGGCTAAACCAGGCAAGCGGAAGAAATTGTGCAGTCGGACAAGCGAGCCAAACCTCGAGACCGGAAGAATACAAAGTGACGGCGTCCGAGTTTGCATCCATGTACGGGCGCGGGGGTTCGATGGCTGTGACCAAGCCGACGGCCAGAGTCAAGGCCAAGCTGGCCATGAGACGTTGAGTCATGGTGGCAAGCTGATGAGGGAGAAGGTTCTACTATGATGATGCGCCGACTCCTTGGCCGCAAGGCCAACTAGTTGTTGCAAGTGCAGGCACCGAGCAGGACCAAGCCAAAGAACAATGAGAACGGGTCGCCCCGGCCGTCAAGGCGAACTTGAGTATCTATCGAGTTGGCCGTGTTCCCCAGCGAGATATTAGGACAAGGGGATGAAGTGCGAGAGCGTGAGAGCGAGAATAACACACACACACACACACACACACACACATACACACACACACACACATACACACACATACACACACATACACACACACACACACACACACACACACAACGGCCGCTTTTGTTCTTAAACTCTCAATCTCTCAATCTCTCTCTCAAACTCTCACTCTCTCTCAACCTCTCTCAAACTATCTCTCTCTCAATCTCTCAAACTGTGTCTCCACCAAGTGTGGGATGTGGGTGATTAGGACGAATGGCACGCCTTAGTGTCAAGTTGCAACGACAGGAGCCTGGTTGGTTTGTTATGGTATTTGGATGCCGTGGTTCTTGGCACGGGCTGGTTTTGGTGAGAAGCGCAGGATCTGTTCCTCTGTGCTACAGAGCATCTTCCACGCTTTCCATCGCTTGATCGCGTGCTTTGCGCTGCAATCAAGAGGGCGCTCTCGTCGCAGTAAGGCGCTCATGGACAGGATCGGGCGTCACTAGAAAGAGAAGAGGGCGCCCGCTTCTTCGAGCCGAGGGGGACAGAGGGGGTCAAGGAGCTGGGACGCTCGGGGAGCAATCCCGGACAGGATTGGTGCAGTGCAATCAACGCCATCGAAGCAGCACAAATCAGGTGGCGCGAAACAGCAAGTCGTGCGGGTCGCCAAGATCACAGGGACCGCTGATCCTGTGAGGATGGGTGAGCAGCCCACACGATACCACACCCACACCAATCACTCCATACCGCACATGTCTTGTTGTATGTGACCTTGATTCTTGATCCTGGACAGGCTGCCGAACGACGTGCGGCGATTGCGGCCTGGTGACAACGTTCTGCCGCTGTGTTGGATGTATTCTTGACTGCCCTCCCATCCCCCCCCCCCCCCTCACCCCTGCCCCCCACCCACCCCCACACAAGCCCTTCCCTACACCCTGATGTACCAATTCTACAAACTCCCATGCTCTTGACCACCACGCCCTCGACGTCACAGACTTCAAATAACACAGCAGCCGCCCGGCGAGCCTCCGCTCTGCTCTTCACGCGCGTCTCCCTAAGAAGCCCCCTCTGCCATACGAGGAGGCATGTTGATGTGTCACCCCGACCAACCAGGTGTCCCACTGGCCGCAGCACTTTGTGCGTGAGGCTTTAATGCAACACTTGTCACACTTTGAACAATATGAAGGTGTGATGTACATTACACTTTGTGATTTCTTACCGAATATTGTGCGTCTCAAGACGCTTGTCACTTTGAAAGCGTGATTCCTATCACACTATCATGAATAATTTATTTTAGATGGGTGGGGTTTACTTTGATAAACAAATGTCATCATTTTTGTGACCGTCGAGCGCTGGTCAAACACGCGCGGGGAGAGCTCGTCACGCAACACAGATCGACGGTGCGGTGCTACAGCTGGAGCTGCATGCCGTGGACGGCGCGCACGGTGTCATTACCTGGCTGACGTCTTCCGTGTGGGGTTTACTGGTGGTGTTTGAGGTGTTTGAGGTGGTCGACGACAGAACCAGCGAGAATGCGCGCACGCGCCGCCATGGCCGCGCGCCGGCTGGCAGAATGGCACACGTGTATGCCTCAGGCCCGGCAGCTCGTGACCCGCTCCCCACCCTCAACTTTCAAGGCATTGGTGACTGCCCCGCTTCTGCGCCCCAACTTCCCACTCACAGTTATGCGCACGGCTTCACGGTACTCAGGCCCTGGGCCAACCGATAGCCACACAGCCCCCGCTACCACCATGGGGGAGGAGCAAGCAGAAACGCACGCAGATGCGGACGAAGTCGAACTTGGTCCCGACGAGATTGGCCAACTCTTGCTCGAGGCCGGTGTGCCTGAAGAACGCATTGAAGCCATTCTACAGGACATGCTTGCCGCACAGGAAGCCGATGGCTTTATTGACGTCGACCAGTACCCAGAACTAGTGGCGCTCATGACTGAGGACCAGCCCGCAACGTCAGCCGACGCGCCCTTTGACGAAACATGGCTCGATGCTCCATCACCAGAGGTCGCCGATGCCCTGCAACAACATCAGGAGAACGTTGAAACGGCTGCACGGGAAAGCCTAGAGGCCCGCATCGCCAAGCTCCCGCGTGAGCAACTCCTCAGCCTGTACGCTGAAATCGAGCAGAGCAACCAACAACACGCTACTCGTGAAGGCTCGAGCTCAGATGACGGCGACCTCGACCTCGACTTGCTTGACCTAGACCTCGATCAGCCTGAAGACAACTCTCCATTTATCAGGCAGGATATGGCCAAGGATGATGACCTCGACTTTGCCAAGGCGGCTCAGCGGCAGCGCAGCATGCGTGGTCAACTGGGTCGCCTCGATGTGGACGAGCTCCCGGCTGATGTTCAAGTTGACCTCGACCCCCGCTCCCAGAAGCGCCTTGTCCGCCTTCAAGAGCGTGAGCAAGCCCGCCGGGCCTCGAGTATTCTTGCTGAGGACGAAGAGCTTGTCGGCAACCCCGATGAGGATCCAGATAAGGCTTGGGTCCACGAGTTGATTGACGACCTACAAGTGGCAGGCGAGGCACGCGCCGCTGGGAAGCAAGAGACCCCCAAGACACGTCCTGGCGCCGATGATGCCGTATCTGAGTTTTCCTTGGGCCGCTTGCCTGATGATCGTGTTCGCGAGCGCGAAGAGTGGCAACGCAGCGTCAGCCATGCCCGCTCCGCCGAAACCATGTACCAGGCCGTACTCACACTCATCTTTCGCGATCGAATCATTCCGGGTCTCGTCGGAACTTCGCTGGAAATCATGCCGGTCAGCCCGTGCTTACGTCCCGCGTGTGCTTGTTGAGCTCCGTCTGCCGTCGCTCCGCCTACGCCTACGCCTGTTTGCACCCGCCTCATGCACCTTAAAAACCCCCACCCGCGTACCCGTTCGATTAGCCGGAGATCTCTCGGTCGCGCGCCAAGGTCGTGATTCCCTGGCAGGTTTCCAACCATGCCGAGGTTTGTCTAGCGTTGACACACATCCCATCACATTGCCAGAACCGAGCCATCGACCCGCTTGCTGCCCGGCAACTCACCGGTCCTTTGTGCCCTCACTCTGTGTTCATGTGCCCTTGTCGCCCACAGGAGGAAGCCGTTGCAGCTGAGTTGAAAAGGGCAGAAAAGCGTCTGCGACGTCACATCGCCCAAGGCCTGAACCTCAAGCGGACTCCAGCCATTGTTTTTCGCCGGACAGCAGCCCGGGAAAGACAAGCTGAAATGGACGCTCTCTTTGAAGAAATTCACCGCCGCGAGGGCTGGTAATTGGGGGTGATCTTATGCTTCTAGATACCTCCTTGGCTCTCTATCCTTGGGTCTCATCGAGGCTCGACATCAATTTAATTGATATGCAACACTGGACGACCGCGGGCATGGACGCTCTGTGCCATCTTTTCTCGAGCAGAAATCAGCTTTGTTTTCAAGACTGAAACTGAGCCAGCTCCTGTCGTAGCTCCGTGCATCTGCCATAAAAGAAAACGTTGCCACACGCAACGGCAAGCAATATTGAGAGTTGTCCCAGCAAGGTTTCCAAGAGTCTTTGTCGCTGTATACACGATTGGCGCTTCAGGCGTATGACACGACCCAACACTCACCGAGCCTGAGAGGCGGGCTGAGCTTGCCCGACCCGATGTAGCGTTTGCATGGTGTCAGCCACGCGCTGGCGTAGCAGTGCCATGCTTGGTGAGGGCGCTGCCCACCAGGTTGTCGGGATGCAGCGTAGTAAGTGCACAAAGAAACCGCAGGCTGCCACAACATCCACGGCATGCCCTAGAGCGCCATGAACTCGATTTGCCAGCAGCTGTGCAAACCAAAGCACCAACGCGGGTGTCTGCGGTGAGTCATCGAATCAAGAAAAGAAGACGCGCCCGCACGCGCCTAGAGCCCACCTGCTCGGCGACGCAACGTTGGAGGTCTGACAGTGATACAACAGGTGCCCAAGCCAACATGTTTTGCATGATCTAAGAGCAGACCAGGGATACACACACGACGCAGCGCATGAGCAAACTCCCGCCTGCCTGTCCACCAAAATTTCTACCTGAATGGGCTGATCAAAGCACATTGACACACCTTGAGGCAGAGGCCGTTCTGGTACGCCTGGAGCGCCGTGGCCTCGGGACAACGCGCATAAGCTTCGGGTGGAAAGATGCTAACGCCCACAAACTCTTGCACGGCCCGTCGTAGTCGCGCTACCGCGGCCGCGTGCAGTTGTTGACGCGTAGCGCTTCCTTCACCGATTTCAAAGTCATGGACCACGCCGGCGCACGTAGCCACCAGCGTCGATGTCTGTGTGGGGTCGCATGGGCGTGATATCAGCTCGTCAAAACACACACGCAACATTGGTAAATCCCAGCCTCAGCTATAGTTGCACGTACCTGCTCTTGCGAAAAAATGTCATAAACAAACTCGATAAAGCCAGCCAACTTGGGCAAGACCACTGCCTCGACCACCTTGGGTACGACATTCTCATCGGGATCACCTGCTGGCTGTGGGATTCAACAATGTCCCGGAGGGCAAAATTGAGCGGGTATGTAAACATCTGAGAAGGCTGGGAATGATGCTCGCGCACGTATACATATTAATGCCTGCACTTCTCCACTTACCGGCGGTTGACCGTCAGGAAGGGCACCAAAGGCCAAAACATCTTGCATCCAGGGCATGGTGTGCACGGGGGGTGCGCTGGGATCGATGGGAAACCACTCGAGAAGCTACGTGCCAACAAGCACTGAGTCTTGGACCCGTTACATGGTTTTTGTCCTTGTGTGTTTGTGTGTCGTGCATGGGGGGAAGGAGGGGAAAGGGATGCTATCTGCTGATGCTGATCGCGAGTGGTGGGGCACGTCTCTAGAGTTCTGCAGGCATCCACCAGAACAGGACCAAAAAAAGCGATAGAAACGAACCTTGAGGGTGACAAATGGTTGGAAGATTTTCACCACAGATTCGCTCACAAAAGCATCACGGTAGGCGGCCGGGTACCGATGCTTCCATGTCTCAAACTGGCCTCCGATGGCAGGAATGCTGGCAAAGTCATCCACCACGTCGCTCATGACCGATTCACCCTGACCATAAGATGACATGTGAGCGCCAATAAGTACGACGGATGAGGCAGTCGCTGTTCTTGCCCCGAGGTAAAGCAGCGCCAAGCTCTGGGAAGCGACAGACCTGAAGGAGCAACGATCGACGCGCTGTCTGATACTTGTTCAGTTGGGCCGGGGTGAGCTCATCGTCAAGTGGCAGGCTACCAGCATCCCCAGCCGCAGCAAACACTTCTGGACGACGCAGCCGCCAGTGTGTCAAACGAGCCTGTTGATCAGACGACAACGTTTGATGTCCTTGCAGCTGGTCTGACACAGATTGCTGGGAGAGCAATCCCCACATGGGTGCCGGCAACGATGAGGACTGTCACGCAAACATCCCCACTACGCGCTGCTTTCTGGAGTACCCCCCTTGGACAGACACATTTGTGTACGCACCTGCCAAGCTGCAAGATCTTGGCGGCGTCGCTCGCTGAGCATGTCGGCTTGCTCTTTGCAAGCAGCATGCACCTGGCTTTCCAAATCTTGGATGGCCGGGACCTAAAGCAACCAGGATGTCACACCAGGTGCATCAGCAGCCGAATCAGCGAGTAATAGTTGAGAGGGGTGGGCAAAGTTGAAGACAAAGCGGGTAACTTTTCCCGCCTAGACCAACGCACGTGGGCATCAAGGCAAGCCAGAAGATCACGCAGGAAGAAGCGCATCTCCTGAAAAAAGTTGAAGCGAGCAGCAACAGCCTCGGCCTCGGTCTTTTCATGTGGAAGTCTGCCACAGATGCCAACGGGGATGAGACATGAGTGGGCATGGCCAAAGCTAGACGCCAACACTTTTGGCCCAGTCGGCGGGTCACAGCCAGGATAGTTGGAGTGCCCGCGTGCCGAGACGTGGTATGCCACCCACCGCTCTTCGAGGGCTTGGATGTCATGATCGATGCGGCGTGCATGCAACAGATGTCCTTGGTGAACTTCGTGCATGCGCTCCTGCGTGAGACGTAAATCTCGCAATCGGGCAGCCACGTCCACCTAAAGACCGCCACGGTTCCAACCGCCGCGTGCCCATCGTCATGTACACAAGCGTGGATAGATGAGCTGCTGTCGTAGCCAACACCAAGCTTGCTGAACCACCAAGACTTGCATACCTGGGGCCGGACGGTTTCAGGGCCCTCTTGCTGGTCTGAGGTGGCAAGGTGAGCCGTGCCGTTCGTATAGACCACGGTTTTTCGAACGCCCGCAGCCTGTTGTCGGCGGTCCCACCCTCGAGTGGCCTCGGGCATGGGCAAGTCTTCCGGATCCGATGAGGTGGTGGCCATGCTGTCCGCGATCTAAAAGAGAGACAATCCAGATGTGAGACATGCTGGTCAACATGAGTTTGTCAATAAAAAAAAGGGGGGCTCAACGTCCCATACACATTGTGGACCTTGAGTGCAAATGTCAGTGGCGCCCCTTTCTAACCTGACGGCGGCGGTCATCTCGGTTATCACGACGGGCAGCTTGATCGAAGGAGAGGTTTTGGGACACCAGGTCTTGATCATCATCAAGATCATCATTCTCTTCCAGCAGCCGTGAACGTGCAGCGCTACAGCACGAGAAACACGAGAAACAATGCACAAGATCGCCCAGGCGTGAGGGGTAAGCAGCGAGAGAGGAGCGATGGGCCAGGAGGAATTGCACAGCGTACGATGACTGCTTGGATGGTGGTTGATTGTCATCGAGGGGAATGAAATCTTGCTGCTCACGAGCAGCGCGACGCCGTTCGCGCGCACGACTAATGTCCTCCGAAGTTGGAATGGCTGTGGTGCTGGGGACTGGTGCGGTTGGTGCAACCTCCGCGGCGGGCTCCAGCTCCTCGTCTGGTAGCGTAGACAAATTTTCGGGAGGGCGCTGCTGTCTATCCATGCCCCACAGCAAGGGGGGGATGAAGCAGCGTCGGAGTGAGATGAGCGGGTGAGCGGGACCGTTGGTATAGCGGCTATTCAGACGAGCGCGTAGCCAAGCAGGAGACGGACTGTTGTCGCAGTTCAGAGAGGGCGGCACTCGAGTAGCTGCCAGACGATTGGAATGCGGTGCCAAGAGAAGGTCCGCCCGCTGCTCCTGGAGCGACATCATCTAGGTTGGTACTCTGCGGTACGCGGAGTTTGGATCGCTTGGCAAACTTGCGCGATTCGCGCGTCTTCTTGACAACAAACGTCGGCGTATCATCTGCGCAGTACGCCCAGTATCCCGGTGAGTGGGGGTATTCAGGTTGGATATTTCATGTGCGGCCATCGTTCGTAGGGTGGCGCAGAGCCGTACCTGCAGTCTCTTCGTCGGCAAACGTGAGCATAGACGTGGTGCGAGCCTGCAAAAAATGTAAAGAGGCCGTTCAAAGAGATGGCAAAACGTGAGGCATGATGAAGGGTGCTCATTCCAACACGGCAGGCGCACCCGGTTTGGACCATGTGGAAAGGAGAAGTTGAAATATGATACCTTGGATCGGGAGCCGGCATCGTCACCAGGCTTTTTGTTGCGCTTTTTTTTCTTCATCATCACGGGCACCGGGGCCACATCGCCCTCATCTGTGGGCGCCATGTTCTGACAGTCGGCTTGTCGACTCAAAACTCAACTCAACCCCGCCGTCCCGTGTCAGCAGCCCCGAACCCACACACTAAACGCCTGCTTCGTTCAAGTCCGTTGCGCCTGTATCGTTCCTTGCTCGCAGCGCCAGTTCGCCGTCCAATCCACCCGCGTGTATCTCAGCCCTGTTTCTGCCGCCGTCGCCACTGCCAAATCAACAACGGCTTGACCGTCAAATGCACGCACTTGAACCACAAACGGCGACGACACGGCACGATGCTTCTTGTTCCCCAAAAAATAGGAAATCGGCCCTTTGTCAGATATTTTATTTTGAGGAATGTCATCATATTCTTTAATATCACTTTGTTCGTCAAACAGGATGATGACATTGTTGCAACGACGTCTCTGTGTGTGTGTGTGTGTGTGTGTGTGTGTGTGTGTGTGTGTGTGTGTGTGTGTGTGTGTGTGTGTGTGTGTGTGTGTGTGT